TTAAGTACATTCACATTTTTTGTGCTATTTCAGTATACTTTTTCCTAAAATTACATTGAAATAATTGAATATTTTAATGATTGAGACCCAAAACTTGCATTGAATAAGTAGAGTTGTTTTGGGGCTTATCAATGAGCTTTTAAGAAAAATAATTTTGTTTGTTTTATTTTGGTTAAGGAACTTGCAGTATAGCTAGTCTTACTGGGCTTAGGGAAAGCAAATGTCAATGGAAATTTATGGAAACATGTTTGTTAATTTGGTTTATATGAACTTTGTTTCCAGTTTTAGTTTAATAAAATATATTAAGGAAGCTGAAAATCTTTTACTGTTGTGAAGAGTCTCATTTAATCATGATTGATATCCTATCATTCCTAACAGTAGCAGGTAGGCAACAATATTGTAGAAAATAATTAAAACATTAAAAAGAAATATGGCCATTTTCCCTTTTACTTTGAAATGATTTCTAAGTTTAGAAATCAGACCTTATAGCATAAGATTAGATAGAAATTATCTTTATGATAGAAATATATTAGAAACAGTGCTCGTAGATAAATCAGTCTTGCGTTGTTTTAACAAAAGGGTAAAATATTTGTCTGTTGCTTTACTAGTTCATGAGACTCTTCTTGATTCTGATGATTGAATCCTTTGTAAGGTATTGATTAATTTCAAAAGACAGTAATCCAAAGTGTGAAGTATTATTTAGAAATGTTCAGAGACCATATAAACCCAATTTGTTTTTTTTTTTTAATTTTACTTATTTAAATGTGATTCCCTTCTTGAGAAATGATAATTTGGAGACTGATGCATAGAATGTTAGGAAGTAGAAAAGATTGAGTTCAATGTCTGACTAATTCTTGGCCTCTACTACAATATAAGGTCAAGCTTTAATTTAGGGGACAGAGGCATGACAAAGCACTATATATCCTAATAAATTTAAAGCTTTTGTTGTAAGCTGCTCTAGGAGAAACTTTGGTTGTGGGGCAGGAGTCAGATGGAGGGGATATTAGTACTTCAGCCTCTTGCTTTAATTACTGTGTGAGGAGAGTTAGCTTTGAAATAAACTGAAAGACCTTGTAGTTTATAAAAATCTCCTGGAAAGACGTTATGGTCATTGGAATCATTTAACTCTAATGGGCTAGACATTGGCTGAAACACACCTGAACTGATAATAAACTTGGTTTCTTTTGGAAAGTGCCAAAAGTACCCATCTTCCCAATACATATATAAAATAAAGTTTACTGTTTAACCATTTTTAAGCATGTAGTTGAATTGTGTTAGGTGTATAGTGAATTGAATTGACTCTCATTCAATCATCGTCATAATAATTATTATTTTTTGTATTTACCAAGAAGGAAAACTGATACCCAACCTTCAACTTTTTCTCGTTTGTTTACCTTAATAGTCCTTCTTTCCCACCACCAATTTGCCAAGATCTTCTTGAGGGAATACAGATATAGGGGTGTAGGACTCTGGTGGTGAAGAAGATTAGAAGGAGATTTGGAGTTGTCCATCCTTCCTGTCCACTGAAACACCATTTCCATCTCCCCTCCTCCCAACCTGGAGAAATATCAGAGTCCTGGACCTTTTCCAGTGTATTTTGAATGTACATAATCTTGGCTGTAGTCATCACCAGACAAGCTAATTATTCGTTCACACACGCTCTGGCCAAGTTTTAGCTCATTTGGAGACTTGTAATGACTTTGGATTCTGTCCTTTGTGAGATGAGAACCTAAGAATCATATCTTTTGACTGGTTCCAAGTTTTAGGTGGGATTTTGATATAAGTTTTATAATCATGTAGGAATTGTAGGTCAAAGCAAGAAATAAGCATTATGAGGCAGGTGGATTCTTTTGCAGGCTAGATATAAAACATATATTTCTTGAAGGCTCGTCATTCTAGGAGGGAATGTCTTGACTTAAGGAGATATTGCAGAGGAGAGCCTTATAAGAGAAAGCTATTCTGACAAGAGTGGTTTTGTTCTTACAAATAAACAGTGGCTCAAGTAGCAGAGCAATAGACTGTAGATAAGGCTAATGTAATATCATACTTGGGGTATAGGAACCATATACATCCATTTAGAGTAGCATTAATTTCCCATTTAATATTTGTCAGAAACTATTAGAGATTTTATCACTCTGCTGACAGCAATTCTATTTGGAACATAGCTGCTTATATACAAATCATTTTTAATGTGAAAGCTCTCATTAGCTTAAAAGGCAAGTCAAATGGTTAGCTTTAAAAGCTGAGTCACAGTCTCATTTACCATCACAATTCACAGTTTTCATCTTTATTTTACCTGGTAGATTAATCTCGTCTCAGCAATGTCATTAGGTGCCTGCCTTGATGGTGTGGAAAAATACACACAAACATCTGATATTTCTGAGCATGTGGGTTGTGACAAATTTAAATGTGTTCTAATAGAGCATCTGTGTATAAATAGCTGAAGATTTATAGATTTTTTTTAACTTAAGGATGAGGAAATTGACCACTATGGGATAATTAAAAATAGCAACTCTGTAAAAGCAGGAGCTAAATTGTTAAATGCCAGGGCACCAACAGGCAATATTCTGTAATCTAAATTGGGTAATTTATATCTTTGCCACTTGAAGATCTGATATATATTGGAGTTAATGAATCATCCCAGCAACATCTCATAACTAAAGCAAATTTTGTTTCTTTTTCATAGGCAGGGTTTTAGTCAATTGAATAATAAATTATCTTGTCTTTTCTTTTCTGAATCATAGGATAGGCAGGCTTATTATAGGTAGGACCAATGAATTGAAGCCCCAGAGAAGATATTCTACCCTGTATTAAAAGATTTCCAATGAAGGATACGGCTCAGACTACTTTGGTTATACTTTTCAGTATTTGAAATAGTAATCTCATGTGGTTGTTTTAAAAATATTTTCAATTTATCACTGAAGATTTGTCTGAAATGTTGAGAAGTCAGGAATTAATTAACTTCTGTATAACACCCAATATCCTGTTCAGTACCTACTCATAGTCCTACAGTTACTGGGTGTATAAGGCAATGTTCCTCTTCCTGTGAAAAGCATAACCTTCCAAGCACTTACAGTTTATAAAAATTGTCACACACATTTTCTCTTTTGAGTATCACAATGACACCTTGTTATATAAAAATATTACTAATTCCTATCAGAAATTAAGATTGAGAGAGGTTAAATGACTCCCTCGAGGTCATATATTTAGGGAGTGGAATAATTACAACTCAAGAACATGGTGGCATGTGCCTGTAATCCCAGCTACTCAGGAGGCTGAGACAGGAGAATCACTTGAACTTTTGAGGTGGAGATTGCAGTGCACTGAGATCATGCCACTGCACTCCAGCCTGGGTGACAAAGCAAGATTCTGACTCAAAAAAAAAAGTTATTTTTGCTCCAAGGACAAACAAGGTACTTTGCACTCTGCGTTTTGCTAACTCTTTGGTATGCTTATAAAACTGGGCATGGTAAACGTGCATTACTGTGCTTTTGGAAAATTTGTTCCTGGTACAGTCATGTGAATTGGGATGTGGTTGGGAAGCATCATTAATTGAGTCTGTGGTCAGAACAGAGACTTGTATAAAGAAATATCCAATTTAAGTGACATCAGTCAGATATTCAGTATAAATGAATTGAGAATGATAGACACAGTGGACAGTCCAAGAGTGAAGTGAAATCTATCATTTTGTGAGTATTCGGAGGACTGGAACTGTACTTTAGGAAGGATGATGGGTGAGAGGGCCTACATGAATCAAGAAGGAAACAGCCTCAAAAAAATAATAAACCTGCTTAAGATACCCTCATCTGAACGGATGAAGTTTGATGCCCTGTTGGTCACAGAAGGGTGAAATGGGCTGAGGAAACTGGGATTCTATAACACTACGATCCAAAAATACTTCCAGAAATGGCATTTGCAAGGTGCAAGTGTTCCCTGTAAAATCTCTGACAAAGGGCTTTGAAATTTAACTTATATTGGAAGAACCTTAAAAAGTTAGTAGAGCCATTCATAATTCTGTTTGGTTTAAGTGCTGCCTGCTAATAACATTACACTGAAATGCAGGTGTGAATTCCTATAATGTTAATTCGAATAGTTTACCTCAGTCTGAAGGTGGGCTCAAATGAGAACGACTGGCTATTGTTAGCTCTCAATTGGACTTTCAAGACACTTCAAAATAGTTTGAGAAAAAGAAAGTGATTTCTAGTTAAACTGTTAAGTACTTTGTGATACAAAGTATGTTCAGGTAAAACCTTTTATTTAAATCAACTTTAAGAGAGACCTCTTTAAAAGGTTGTAAAGTATAAATGAGGAAACCTTTAAAAAGAAATACAGCTTTATTTCTTTTACATATCTGTTGGGAGTTGAGCTAGATAGTTGAGGCACCAGCATGAGGTTCCTAAGAAATCTACTTTAATGAACAAATTAGAGTGATTTGTACTTGATACTTGATGTTGCTGGGTGCGGTGGCTCAAGCCTGTAATCCCAGCACTTTCGGAGGCCGAGGCGGGTGGATCACGAAGTCAAGAGATCAAGACCATCCTGGTCAACATGGTGAAATCCCGTCTCTACTAAAAATACAAAACATTAGCTGGGCATGGTGGTGCGTGCCTGTAATCCCAGCTACTCAGGAGGTTGAGGCAGGAGAATTGCCTGATCCCAGGAGGCGGAGGTTGCGGTGAACTGAGATCGCGCCATTGCACTCCAGCCTGGGTAACAAGAGTGAAATTCCATCTCAACAACAACAACAACAACAACAACAAAACTTGATGTTATTTCAAAGACCGCACAGACACTTGAAAAATAAGTTTTTTTCTGAACCCGATAATTTCAACTTTCTTAGCAATTTCTCATTTCTGAAAGAGTGAAAAGGTAAATTTTAGGCTAGCTTCTGTTCAAATAATCACAATATGTGAATTGAAGTTCGAAGATTTCATAGAGTGTTACTGAATTTGTCTGTTTTCTAAAGGAAATTGATTTATTCTTTTCAAATTATTTTACAGGATCCTTCAAACCAAAAGTGTGGTGGAAGAAAGAAAACCGTGTCTTTCAGCAGCATGCCATCGGAAAAGAAAATTAGCAGTGCAAATGACTGCATCAGCTTCATGCAAGCTGGCTGTGAGCTGAAGAAAGTCCGGCCAAATTCTCGCATTTACAACCGTTTTTTCACTCTGGACCCAGACCTCCAAGCTCTTCGCTGGGAACCTTCTAAGAAAGACCTCGAGAAAGCTAAGCTTGATATTTCTGCCATAAAAGAGATCAGACTGGGGAAAAATACGGAGACATTTAGAAACAATGGCCTTGCTGACCAGATCTGTGAGGACTGTGCCTTTTCCATACTCCATGGGGAAAACTATGAGTCTCTGGATCTAGTTGCCAATTCAGCAGATGTGGCAAACATCTGGGTGTCTGGGTTACGGTACCTGGTTTCTCGAAGTAAGCAGCCTCTTGATTTTATGGAGGGCAACCAGAACACTCCACGGTTTATGTGGTTGAAAACAGTGTTTCAAGCAGCAGATGTTGATGGGAATGGGATTATGTTGGAAGACACCTCTGTAGAGTTAATAAAACAACTGAACCCTACTCTGAAGGAAGCCAAGATCAGGTTAAAGTTTAAAGAAATCCAGAAGAGCAAAGAAAAACTAACCACTCGTGTGACCGAAGAGGAATTTTGTGAAGCTTTTTGTGAACTTTGCACCAGGCCAGAAGTGTATTTCTTACTTGTGCAGATATCTAAAAACAAAGAATATCTGGATGCCAATGATCTTATGCTCTTTTTAGAAGCTGAACAAGGAGTCACTCATATCACTGAGGATATATGCTTAGATATCATAAAGAGATATGAACTGTCTGAAGAGGGACGCCAAAAAGGGTTTCTTGCAATTGATGGATTTACCCAGTATTTATTGTCATCAGAATGTGACATTTTTGATCCTGAGCAAAAAAAGGTTGCCCAAGATATGACCCAGCCATTATCTCACTACTATATCAATGCCTCTCATAACACCTATTTAATAGAAGACCAGTTCAGGGGACCAGCTGACATCAATGGGTATGTGAGAGCTTTGAAAATGGGCTGTCGAAGCATTGAACTTGATGTAAGCGATGGTTCAGATAATGAACCAATCCTTTGTAATCGAAACAACATGACAACACATGTCTCCTTTCGAAGTGTCATAGAGGTAATAAATAAATTTGCCTTCATTGCTTCTGAATACCCACTCATTCTTTGTTTAGGAAATCACTGCTCCCTGCCGCAGCAGAAGGTAATGGTTCAACAGATGAAAAAGGTCTTTGGCAATAAACTGTATACCGAAGCACCTTTGCTGTCAGAATCCTACCTCCCATCACCAGAAAAATTAAAAAGAATGATCATTGTCAAAGGAAAGAAGTTGCCTTCTGATCCAGATGTGTTAGAAGGAGAAGTAACAGATGAAGATGAAGAAGCCGAAATGTCTCGAAGGATGTCAGTAGATTACAATGGTGAGCAGAAACAAATCCGGCTCTGTAGGGAGCTCTCTGATTTGGTATCTATTTGTAAATCTGTTCAGTACAGGGATTTCGAACTATCTATGAAAAGCCAAAACTATTGGGAAATTTGTTCATTTAGTGAAACAGAGGCCAGCCGCATTGCAAATGAGTACCCAGAGGATTTTGTTAATTATAATAAGAAGTTCTTATCAAGAATCTATCCAAGTGCCATGAGGATCGATTCCAGTAACTTGAATCCACAGGACTTTTGGAATTGTGGCTGTCAGATTGTAGCAATGAATTTTCAGACTCCGGGTCCAATGATGGACCTTCACACGGGCTGGTTTCTTCAAAATGGGGGATGTGGTTATGTTCTAAGGCCGTCTATCATGCGAGATGAAGTTTCTTACTTCAGTGCAAATACAAAGGGCATTGTACCTGGGGTGTCTCCTCTAGCTCTTCATATCAAGATCATCAGTGGTCAGAATTTCCCAAAGCCCAAGGGAGCTTGTGCCAAAGGGGATGTCATAGATCCCTATGTTTGTGTAGAAATACATGGAATTCCAGCGGATTGTTCAGAACAAAGAACTAAAACTGTACAGCAAAACAGTGATAATCCTATTTTTGATGAAACTTTTGAGTTCCAAGTAAACCTACCTGAGCTGGCCATGATCCGTTTTGTTGTTCTGGATGATGACTACATTGGGGATGAGTTTATAGGGCAATACACGATACCATTTGAATGTCTGCAGCCCGGATATCGGCATGTTCCCCTGCGCTCTTTTGTGGGTGACATCATGGAACATGTAACCCTTTTCGTCCACATAGCAATAACTAATCGAAGTGGAGGAGGAAAGGCACAGAAGCGCAGTCTTTCAGTGAGAATGGGGAAGAAAGTTCGGGAATATACTATGCTCAGGAATATCGGTCTTAAAACCATTGATGACATCTTTAAAATAGCAGTTCATCCATTACGAGAAGCCATAGATATGAGAGAAAATATGCAGGTAGGAGAAAAATCCCACACTCTCCTTCCCTTCCCTGCTTATTCCTACCCTTCTAATGTTTTATTAATTATCTGAATTGCAAAATTTTTCCAGAAAGATTGTTTAAGTCTGAGTGCAGTGGATCACGCATGTAATCCCAGCACTTTGGGAGGCTGAGGCAGTTGGATCACTTGAGGCCAGGAGTTCGAGGCCAGCCTGGGAAACATGGTGAAACCCTGTCTCACTGAAAAAAAACACACAAAAATTAGCCAGGTGTGGTGGTACACACTTGTAGTCCTAGCTACCCAGGAGGCTGAAGTGGGAGGATTACTTGAGCCTGGGAGGTCAAGGATGCAATGAGCTGTGATTGCACCAGTGCCCTCCAGTCTGGGCAACAACAGAGCAAGACCCTCTCTCAAAATAAGAAAAGAAAGATGTGTAAATCTGTGTACCATTGAACTAAGTTCAGTATTGTCTGTGATAAAACAGATATATTTTATGTTTCTAATTGTGAATGCTAGGTTAACTTTGGACTGAACTAAGATGTAGCAAAATGCTGTATATCCATGCATATATTCTAGTACAAAACAGAATTGATATATGGAAATGTGCATCTGAAACAATGGGAGTAAAGTAGAATGCACAATATATGTGTGTAATATATACAAAATGTATACAAACACACATACTAATTATCAGTGTACATAATATTTGCAGATATGAACATGAAAGAGAATTTGAAGTCATATAAAACAAGTGTGATGCCTATTAGGTTATTTTTTAGTTTTAAATTTCGCATAATGACAACAATAATAAATTACTCCCCATAAGAACAAGTAAAACTAAACAAAAAAATCAGCACTCAAACTTGTTGAAAAAATATTTGACCTTGTATTAGAAATGTGATTTAATTGGAAGAACATAGGTTCTGGATCAAATCTACTCCTGTGCTATCTTGAGCAAATTATTTCGGGTCTCTGATCATTAATATGCTCCATAAGGTAAGAAAACTAGTTACACTTATCACAAAATTATTATGAGAGTAAAATTCCATAGAGTATATGGAAATTGCCTAGCCTCAACAATTAGAAATTCAATGTTAAGTTTACTTGCCTTCATTAATGCAGATTATAATCTGAGACAGTTGTAAACTTAAAAATAAAACCTACTTAATATACTTACTAGGCTAGCGTTATTGAGACGCAAGCAACAACAGATATTTACTGAGTACCTGCAAAGTGCAAAGTGAATATTATTCAATTCAATTTATTTTTTTCTTTAGCTGATGTGTTTATAATAATCCTTGCCAAAAAACCCTGTTTTCAATATAGAGAATAAACTTGAAAAGGCTAATGCATTTCTCAAATATTGTAAGTTAACAAATAGCCATGTTAGCCTTTTAATCCAGGACTGCAGTATTTAATAGAACAACAGGGTCACTGTAGTTAATAATAACTGTACATTTTAGAATAACTTAAAGAGTCTAACTGGATTGTTTGCAACTCAATGGACAAATACTTGAGGGGATGCATACCCCATTCTTCATGATGTGCTTATTTCACATTGCATGCTTGTATCAAAACATCTCATGTACCCCGTAAATATATATCAACTATGTACCTACAAAAGTTAAAAATTAAAGAAAATAAATCTAGGATTTCCTAGTACCAAAATCTATGACCATTATCATTCAAGTGATGCAGAACCACAAACCCATGACACAGTTAAATACTTGTGGTGGATTGCCTTAGCCACCATTTAAAAAATAGAGTCCAAGTGTCAGCATATTCTATGTCACTTTTTCTGAAATAATTCTAGTACTATTATAAATCCCTATGTTAATTAGTTATAAATCATTTCTACACTTAACTTTATAGATTAGACTTTACATACTTTATATAATTCTTGAAATATGTACTTTGCATATTTTATATTATATAAAAGGAGAGTTGGTTATAAAGTGTATCCAGGTAGCATTGATAGTTCATATTATCTTAACATAAAGTCTTTGGGGTTAAGGATTATTTGGAGTCTAATCAGTAGAAAAATGAAGGTGATCATTGTTATGAAATTCATGAGACACACTAAGTTAGGTACTGTTCACTGCTGGTAAAATGTAAAATAGTCATGATTTCTATTTCAAATGAATTTTTTGAAGACTAACATGGGCAACTGTACCTCTACATGTGTGTGTGTCTGTCAGGCAGGTGCCTTTCTGATGATGTGACAAAGGAATGCCATTGATTAGTCAGATGGAGGGTGGTAAGCAGTAGCATCCTGCTACCTTGAGGGAAAAAGCCCAAGCGAAATGCATTCTAGTATACAACCCCTGGCTTTATGTTTTCCTGATCACCATGATACAAGTAAAACATGACATTCATGATCAGCCAGTACTTAGTTGTGTGAATACCCTAGTGCTCTGCTTTGAAAAGCACTTCGTGGCCTCGGGTCCCAATCTGCTTTGCTTTCATGGCATGTTTGTGGTGACTGCTAAAAACTGAGAAAGATGAAGTGTAATCATGAATTAGCTCTCTATACTATCCTTTAAAAATGAATATACTTTTCTGTAAACCTGGGAGTACTGGGGGTGATGTGTCAGGTGGTCAGAAGTGTGATTCCATGTTTCTCCCTCACAGAATGCAATCGTGTCTATTAAGGAACTATGTGGACTCCCTCCAGTTGCTAGTCTGAAGCAGTGCCTATTAACACTGTCATCTCGGCTCATCACCAGTGACAATACTCCTTCAGTCTCACTTGTGATGAAAGACAGCTTTCCTTACCTGGAGCCTCTGGGTGCAATTCCAGATGTGCAGAAAAAGATGCTGGCTGCTTATGATCTGGTAGGAAATTGCGACTCCATATTTTTTATCTGTGTGTGTGTGAAATCACAAATAGCAGGGACTCTTTTGTGGAACTCCAATGAATAACACAGAGTGACCACCTTTGAAACATGGATTGGAGGTAGCATGCAGAGCTGGCCCATTCAGCTTCCGCTAAGTCTCAGTGGAGACCTCTGAGAAAATGGCTTGAACCTGGAGCTCCACAAGTTATCAGTGGAAAAGCTCTGCTTCAGCAAAAAATGAATTATTAAACAAACCCTCAGAATTGGTACATCCATCATCTAAATGGCTTTAGACTGCAATATAACCATTTAATTGTGTACCTGTGAGAATTAAACATGTCTCAGTGCTGCCTTATGATGGTTGAGACAAAATTTATCTGGAATCTATATTTCTCAGCTAATCCCTAGAATGTACCCCTTATCCTCATGGTCTGAAATGGGTGCTGAGCTCCAGCCACAATATTTGCATTCCAACCATCAGAAATGATGAAAAGAAGGAAGACATAGTTTTTTCCTTTAAGGACATTTCTCTGAAATAGAATAGATCATGTTTGCTTATATTTCATCAGCTTGGAGTTGACACATAACCGCACTTAGTTGCAAAAAGAAAGGAAAATATCATTTCAAGGGGCTATATGCTAAATCTTGTCTCTTCTATTACTAAGAAATAAGGGGAGAATGTATATTAAGGGACAACCAATAGTCCTCTACAGAGGTAAACAGGAAATTCACTTGCCCCCCGACCCAATAACAATGAAAAATTAAGAACATTTAACCTTAAAATAAGCTTTTAATTAGAAATTAAGAAAATGTAGTAAGATATTCCCCTCACCATTAAATTGACATTTTTTTTCTCTTTAAAAATAGTACTTCTGATCAAGAATTTAAGGAAATGGATACTCTCATTCATCTACCTCTAGTGGAAAAATAAAGTGTTATAATATTTCTTGGAGAAACAATTGGCAATACAATTTAAAATACTTATTAATTTGATCTATAGAGTTCCTTTTCTTGGATTTATTCTAAGCCAATAGAGAGATTTATGTTAATAATATCAACATAGAAAGATTAGCTAAGTGAAATATAATAATCTATATTATAGATTCCTTTGAAGATATTAAAATCATGTGTTAGAAGAATACTTAATGATATGGAGAAGTCCTTACAATGTTCTATAGAAAATTTGCAATAGGATTTAAATTACATCTATGTATATGCACCTAAAATGCTAGCAGGTTATTAATAGTGATTGTTTTTATATGAGAGTGAATTTTATTTTCTTGTTTATACTTTTCTATATTTTTTCTGTATTCACTAAACTATAGTGAACCCAACTAATTTTATAATTGAATAAAATAAACCTTAAGGAAGAAAAGAATAATATTTTGTCATTAAAATACAACTAGAAGAAAGACATTTGAGATAAACATTCTATAAATGAAAAAGAAAAAGTTCCACAGGATGTGTGCTGCTTATGAATGACCATACCTTTTATAAACTATACTTCATGTTTGCTAGGGGAAAAGTTTACCTATTACCTGTATCTCACTTTTCATGAAATCAATTTTTTCATCATAAAAATGGGGACTGAAAGCTATTCAGTGAATAGGTGTAATTTCCATCTAAGAGGTGAAATTAGGGTACTAGTTGCCATAGAGACAGACAGTAGAAATCACTTATTCCTCCACTTCTCTTTTAAGCTAAGAAAGAAAAATCATTCATGGTGAGGGAGCTCCCCAGAGCTGGCCTGTAATAAGCAGAAGGATACCCGGTCTGGGGCTGGGTAATTTCTATTTCACATCCCCGAGTGTCTGATAGTGTCCTGTTTTTTTTTTTTTTTTTTTTTTTTTTTCCCAGTTTTATCTGCTGAAGCCAAAACTGAAATATTAGCCTTTTCTCATCTGTATTATTAAAATGCAAATTGTAATTGCAGGAAGAGCATGGTTTTCCAAAGATTAAAAAAAAAAAAGGCTACAGTAGAAGCAGAAATACTTATAATGAAGTCTTTCATTTACAGTTCTCTATGGAAAACCATTTTGGGAAGGAATTGAGTGTAAATATTCCTATGCCACTTGGTAAACTCAGTAGAATGCAGAAGTGATTAAAAACACTATTGAGATCTCCGTTGAGTATTTATTTTGAGGAATAGGGTGGGTAGGGACAGACACATGTAATGATAATATTGGCCTTGAAATTAAAAGACCATTTTTACATTCTAGGACTTGCATTGTATTGGTTGGTATCTTTAATGCTCTTGGTGTATTACTGCCTGTGTTAATTTTAAAGAGGTCTTCCAAGATCTCTGCAGATCTAGAGTGAACATTTAAAAACAGATCAAGGGGCTGGGTGCGGTGGCTCACACCTGTAATCCCTTCACTTTGAGAGGGTGAGGCGGGTGGATCACAAGGTCAGGAGTTTGAGACCAGCCTGGCCAACATAGTGAAACTCCGTCTCTACTAAAAATACAAAAATTAGCCAGGTGTGGTGGCATGTGCCTGTAGTCCCAGCTATGTGGGAGGCTGAGGCAGGAGAATCGCTTGAAGCCTGAAGCAGAGGTTGCAGTGAGCCGAGACTGTGCCATTGCACTCCAGCCTGGGTGACAGAGTGAGACTACATCTCAAAAAAATAAAATAAAATAAAAATGTAGATTAAATTAAGTTACTTTCCTGCTTAAAATCCTGCAGTGGCTTCCTATTAAAATAAAACAGAAACTCCTGACTGTGGCTTTACAAGGTAATTTATGATTTGGCCCTTCTTGTCTACCTCACCTGCCTCTCCATCCTTGCCCAATCTCACTAAATCTCTCAACCTCACCCACCTTTCCAGCCTCACCTGCCTCTCCCAACCTCATTTGCTTCTCCAGCCTCATCTGCTTCTCCTAACCTCACCTGCTTCTCCCAAACTCAACTGCCTCTCCAGCCTCACTTGCCTGTCTCACCTGCTTCTCTAGTTCCACGTGCCTCTCTCAACCTCACCAGCTTCTCCCAGCCTCACCTGAATCTCTGGCCTCATCTGCCTTTCCTAGCCTACCTGCCTCTCCAGCTTCACCTGCCTTCCCCAACCTCACCTGCCTCTCCAGTCTCATCTGCTTCTCCAGCTTCACCCCAATACTCTATTTTACTCACTCTCTTCCAGCAACATTGCCTTTCTTTGCACATATTTATGGGTATGGTGTGATATTTTCATACATGTATACAATGTGTAATGATCAAATTAGAGTAATTAGCATATCCATCACCTCAAACATTTATTTCTTAGTGGTGAGAACATTTGAAGTCCTCTCTTCTGGCTATTTTGCCAGGCGCTATACTTACCACTATACCACCAACACCATCTCTTCTAGCTATTTGGAAATATACAGTATGTTATAGTTAATTATAGTCACTACAGTGCTATGGAACACACTAGAAATTATTCCTCCTTATCTCTTAATTCTTAGCTCAAATGTCATTTTCTCAGAAAAGCCTTTAGAAGACATATGTGAGGCCAACAAACATATGAAAAAATGCTCACCATCACTGATTATTAGAGAAATGCAAATCAAAACCACATTGATACCGCCTCACACCAATTAGAATGGCGATCATTAAAAAAATCTAGAGACAACAGATGCTGGAGAGGATGTGGAGAAATAGGAACACTTTTACACTGCTGGTGGGAGTGTAAACTAGTTCAACCATTGTGGAAGACAGTGTGGCGCTTCCTCAAGGACATAGAAATAAAAATTTCATTTGACCCAGCAATCCCATTATATACCCAAACGATTATAAATCATTCTATTATAAAGACACATGCACATGTATGTTCATAGCGGCACTGTTTACAATAGCAAAAACCTGGAACCAACCCAAATGCCCATCAATGATAGACTGGACAAGGAAAATGTGGCACAATATACACCATGGAATACTATACAGCCAAAAAAATGATGAGTTTGTGTCCTTTGTAGGGACATGGATGAATCTGGAAACCATAATTCTCAGCAAACTGACACAAGAACAGAAAATCAAACACCACATATTCTCACTTATAGGCAGGTGTTGAACAGTGAGAACACATGGACACAGGGAGGGGAGCATCCACCACATACTGGGGTCTGTTGGGGGGGGGCAAGGGAGGTACAATGGGGAGGTCGGGGAGGGATAACAACAACAAAAAAAGCCTTTCCTAACTACTGTCCCCATTCATCCCTTTGTCACATAGCCATGTTTTATTTCCATCTTCCTGCTTAGCAGTATTGAAAAATACTTTGTTTGAAGTTTTTAATTTCTGTCCTCTTTTATCCCTCAACTTGAATGTACACTTTATGAAGTCAGAGACTCTGTCTGTCTACTTATTACTGTCACCTTTAGCACCCAAAACAATGTTGGCATACAGCATGTTATCAAGTAATGTTCATTGACTAAGAAGAATAAATGAAAGCATCTATTGATGAAAATCATATGGTTTCCATCCTATAATTGAATATGTTTTATAATAAATTATTAAATCCCCTTGGTTTTACTCTCTGACACCGCCCTTGCTGAATTGTTCCCTGTCCTATATTTGTCTAAAAAACTTACAGAGTAAGGCGAAACCATGCAGACAGAAAAAAGATTATTATTTGCCAGGGGCTTTGAGTGGGGCAGGGAGGGATGAACTGGTAGAGCACAAAGGATTTTTATGGGAGTGAAACTGTGATATCTGTATGATGCTGTAATGGCAGATACATGTCATTATATACTTGTCAAAAGTCTATAGAATGTACACCACCAATCATCAACCTTAATGTCAGCTATGGACTTTAGCTAATAAGCATGTATCAATACTGACTTGTCAATTGTAGTAAATATACCACATTAATGCAAAATATAAACAGTAGGGAAAACTGGGGGGTTAGGGTGGAGTGAGAGGATGGGAACTCTCTGTATTTTCCATTCACTTTTTATGTAAGCTTGAAACTTCCCACGAAAATACAGTCTAACCCCTCCACCACAGACTATTAATGAAAACTGATTT